AGTCATTGGCTACCCGGATCATAACGGTCCTAACCAGCAGTGGACACTGAACTGGATTGGCAATGCCTGGACGTTCCGCTCTGTGTCGTCAGGCCTCTACCTCGGCTTGGGTGGCGCCTCTGCGGACGGCACACGTCTTTTGGCTGTGAGCGACGCAGTGCCATGGCATATCTGGCACGACGAGGTGGATGCGACTTCGTTTAGGTGAGCCTTTCGCTTCGGTTTAACGATACCTTACCCACTCAATGTTGCTAGGATTTTTGCACCATTCACCAACTATAATCTCGACTTGTACAACTACGGAGACCCAGTCGCAGGAGATCCCATCACGTTGTGGTACAAGTGGAACGGTACCCACCAGACTTGGAAGTTTGTGAGGGTCTGAAGATGGGCGGGGAGAAATGGCCGCTGTACATTGTAGTCTACGACTTTTTATACCTATACCTCGATGCGAACTCTGTTTGTCTGTATGCATTTATGGAACTTGAGCCTTGTTTGTCAAGCACTCTTTCCGTTCAACTACAACCATGGCAAAGCATACGCGCAAACCAGGCGAAACGATGACGGTTCCCATAACGTCTCGTCAAGCTAGTCGGATTTTGGCTGTTGTCCCAATGATAGTTGTTACCTCTTGTAAGCCAGACTCAACAATTCATGATGGGTGCTAATGTAACGCTAGATGTGTTGTACAAGCGATTGGTTCTTGGGGAGCCTCAGAAAACATTACACAGGCCGCCAGAGACGGCTGTGGCTGCAAGTAGAGAGGAACGAGAGCGGCATTGAATTTCGGAGGCAACGGAAAATGCGTGAATGTTTGTCTATAGCTAGCGGCTCTCTGCATCTTTTCCTCACAGTTCCTTTGCAGGCAAATACAGTACTGAAACATCTGCTCATCTATTTTGACTGCTCGCTGGCCGGGATGATACGCGTGCCGGGTATTCTGGCGGGATTGAATGAGCGGTCGCAGTCGGCGTACGCGGCTCCTGCGCCGAATCCAGTAGATAATGCGATGGGCCATGTCCGTCCTGTGGTAGATATTGAATACGAGGCGAAGAGGTACAGGGGAAGACAAACGCCGGAACAGAATGACAGAAGCTACAACGCCTGCGCCGAAGCCTACACCGCTGAAAATCGCCGTCAGTCAATGTGAATGGGTGCAAATATGCTGCAAAAACGCACGCCTTGACCAGGAAATCGGCCACTTGAGTTTCCGTTAGTTTCCGCGAACAACATGGGCGATGAACCACGACATACTGCACCGGTCATACTGGCGCATATAATCACTTTAAATGGCTGTGAATACTAAAGTATATTGCGTACCTTCTGGCCGAGAATATCCTCGCTGGAAACAGGCTTGGTGGTCGTCGACATGGGTGTCAAGAGTAGAGATTTGCCGTGTCCGGCACTGACGCTTGCTTGACTCTGTACCATCACCGACCTACTCAGCGAGGCCTGCGCAGCTCGCAGTCTCTGGACTATATAACTACCATTCGACGAGTCGTGCTGTGCACAAGATGGCTAACCAATCGCCCATGATATCGATACCGCGAAAGGCGACGGAGGAAGTGGACTGGACGTCCCCCATCCGGTCTCTCATTGCTCAGTCATACGGAGAGAGTCCGGATAACTATGCTGCAGAATGCGCTGCGCTCCAGAGATGCAGACAGGACGCCGTTCGCGGTGCCGGGAGTGACACGACTGGTGGGGTCTACTGCTGCCACGCATATAGGCTACATCTAATTGTCTACAGCTCGCGATTTATTGTACAAGTACTTTGGACAGCTCGAACTGCTGGAGCTTAGATTCGCTGAGATTCGAGTCAACTTTCCTTGGAAGGATGCTTTCACCAACAAACTCACGACACAGACATCCATTGCGTATGAAAAGGCGTCCATATTATTCCAGATAGCGAGCACCCACTCTGCCATCGCATCTTCCCAGAGTAGATCCGATCCGGAGGGCCTCAAACGGGCATTCACATACTTCAAGACCTGCGCGGGCATGTTGACCTATATAAACGAGAACTTTCTCCACGCCCCCTCCACCGATCTCAGTCGAGAGGTCATCAAGTTCCTCGTCGGCGTCATTCTCGCGCAGGCCACCGAAGTCTTTTTCGAAAAATGCACGGACGAGAAGAAGAGCAGCGCGCTTGTGTCCAAGATTGGCGCCCAGACCGCTTCCATGTACGCTACACTCACGGACGAGGTTAAAGAGTTTATGGGAAAGGGCATCTTTGACCGGAACTGGATCACACTCATCCAGATAAAGGCAAAGTACTTTTCGTCGCTCGCTCATTACCACCGTGGCCTTGCGGATTCGGCGGCCAGCAAATACGGCGAAGCGCTTGTGCGCTTTAACCTTGCCGAGTCGCTTGCCAAGGAGGCTTCACGCGCAGCTTCGTCCTTCTCTTCTGGCTTCGTCTCAACCATGTCCCCTACTCTTCCCTCCGACGCCGGCTCTGCCTAGCTGACCGCATGAAAGGTCACCTTGCTATCGTCAGCGAGAAGAGGAACGAATCTAATCGAGAGAATGACCTCATCTATAACGCTATTCTACCTGCGCCGGAAGCGCTTCCCCAGATTGACAAAACTGCGGTGGCGACACCCATTCCCATTCAGGAAGTGTATGGTACACCGGAGGTTCAGAAGACGATTGGACAGGATCTGTTTATTCGGTTGATACCGCTCAGTGTGCATGAGAGTGCAAGTGTGTACTCTGAGGAGAAGGCCAAGCTTGTTAGAGGAGAGGTGGAGAAGGCTGAACTCGCCGAAGTCGAAGTGACAAGTGCACTCGATGAAATGGGCGTTAAAGAGGGGTTGAAGAGGTTCCGAGCCATGGCTGAAGGGGAAGTAGGTGGGGAGGATGAGATTCCTCTCGATGTTCGGCGCTGGCGAGATGACATTGCTGTCATCGAGGAGCGCGAAAGTGTACCCACTCTCGTGGCCCAACTCGGCCGACTGAAAAGCACCGTCGGGCAGCAATTGGAGTCCCTTTCGCAAGAGCTTGACACGGAGTCTAGGAGTTGCGAGATGATGCGCGTCAAGTACGAACACCTGTGGACGCAAGAGCCCTCTGCTGGTGTTGCCAAGTCTTTCCGGCAGGACATTAAAGCCCACTTTGGCTCCCTCGAGGCCGCTGCGCCCTCTGACCAGCAAGTGGCGACAATGTGGCAATCAGTGCAAGGGGACATTGGATTGCTGTTGAGTCCTAATCTGGAGGATGTATTCAGGGCGAGCACTGAACGCGGCGGAAATGTTCGAGAGAGTCTATTGGATCTGGATATCAGTGGCGAGGTCGATGACGCCCAGGAGAGGGCCAAGATCAGGAGCTTTGTCGTGGAGATTGATCAGCGTCTGGGTAAACTGAACAAGATTTCCAGAGAACGCAACGAGGTGCTGAAGGACCTGAAGGAGAAAGTCAGCGGCCTTTTCACATAATACCCGCTCTCATCCTAACTTGATTTGCCTTAGATTCAGAACGACGACGTTTCTCATCTTTTGCTTCTCAATCGACGCAATGCCACTGTGGAACCGACGTTGTTTGCCGCAGAATTGGAGAAATTCCGACCTTTCCAACAGCGTTTGGAAGGCACGACGCACGTCCAAATTCTGACGCTTCAGGAAATTGCTGGTTTCTGGAAGGCGCTGAAAGACCTTGCAGGCCGTGGGCCCGGAGCACGCAAATGGGACGAGCGCGAAAAGCGGAAGAAGGAGACGATTCGTCGCTTTTCTAGGACGAGAGACATCTACATGGAGGTTCGAGATGGCTTGGCGTGAGTTTCCCTGCCTCCATGTGGTCGTCCTAGCTGACTTTGTCGTAGGAAAGGACTTCAGTTTTACAATGATCTGACCGGCTTGGTCAACAGCCTTCAGGGCAACGTCAAGTCTTTCGTGGCTGATCGAACGAAAGAGAAGGACAACCTCGTGTCTCAACTTGAGGTTCAGAAGCGCCTTTCGTCCGCTGCACCTCCAATAGCGGCTAAGCCTCCTGTACCGCCACCGCCACCCTCGTCGTCCAGCCTTGCTTCGTCGTTTTCTTCGATGAGCATGAACGACAAACCATGGCAGTCCCAATCCCCGCCGCCTCCGCCCCAATCCCAATATCCATCGTCTTATAATTCCACGCCACCGCCTTCACATCAACGGTCGTACTCGACTTCCCAGGCATCATATAATGCACCCTCACCATCGCAAAACCAAGGCTACTCCACTCCGCCCCTCCGCCTCAACACGCTCGGCAGATGTCTATGTCTAATTATCTGCCTCCACCACCTCCTCAACCGAGCTACTCTAGTCCACCGCCTCAGCAGCCCCAGAACGATCCGTACGCTAATTTAGCCATGTTCGGCAGCTCGTTCCAAGCGACGCCCTCGGCCCCGCCGCCTCCACCTCCACAACAGTATCAGGCGCCTCCTCCGCCACCATCGCAGCAATATCAATCGCCGCCGCCTCCGCAGCAGCAATATCAATCGCATCCTCCCCCGCAGCAACAACAGCAGTACGCGCCCCAACAGCAGCAGCAGCAGCAATGGCACCAGTATCAGAATCCGCCACCGCAACAACAATACCCGTCACCTCAGCAGTATTCGTCGGTGCCGCCGCCACCGCAGCAGCCGCAGTATCAGAGCCAGAATCAGTGGATGCCTCCTCCGCCTGCGCCGCTGTCTTATCAAAGTCAGAACCAGAATCCGAATGCCAGTCAGTATGGAGGATATCAGCAGTATGGACAAGGGCGGTAATACAATGCGATTGGGAATGTGTATCAGTGTACAGTATGTATGTCTATTTACGTCGTGCAATGTGACAATGGAATGGATGGGGTATGATTCGGAGTAGTAGCGCTGAGGCGAGGTCAAGGATAGTCGGCAAAAGAGCGGTTGGATGTAAGATGGGATTAGGATGAATCTCGTTAGCTTAGGATGTGAATACGCGCTGACGAAGAAGCAAGAACGAATGTGGCGCAAATTCTGTACACATGTGATGATTGTGAACATTTGTTATGGGCTCTTGGCACAGGGGTAGCGCGCACGCTTCGCATTTGTCGTTTGCGTGAGGTCGTGGGTTCAATTCCCACAGTGTCCAATTCTTTTGCCTCTGCGCACCGAATGAACATTTATTATTATTTAAGTACTGTAGAGGTTGACAGAAAATGTGTTTCATTAAGAGAAGTATCTAGTGGTACAAGTTTTGTTTTATCTTGGTACTGCGCCACTTTCCCTATCTGCGATCTAACGCCCCACTTCACCCCATGTGTACTGGACTCGCGGTCTCAGCCCTATAACACCACCTCCCTTTCCATCCCACCCAGCAATATGCGCCCGGCATACAGGACATCTATGGATCATTAGAGGTTGTTGACAAAAGCAGATGAAAGTATCACCGAGGTGTTCGGTCCTCAGCAGTTCTCAGGGCGATCGCAACAGCGTTGAACAAACAGGCCCCGCAACTGACATGCCCGCAAGGAGTCAATGTCGCGTTAGTAGGGGGCGAGAAGCAAATGGGACATGCGAAAGCCGAGAGACCATTACTAGGTCCCTCCGTAGAGTGTGATTCGTCAATGAGTGGTGGGATCTCTTCAACAACTACAGATTCAGATGGCAGGCGAGGGTTCTGGTCCGCATTGAAAGGGCCTGCGGGTGAATTTGGCTTTGCAGAGGCGGAACGACGCGCCAATCTGCTTGCTGTGGAGGACTGTTGGCGTGCGCTGAGGTTCCTGTCGGTCAACGGAGCAGGTAATGGATCGTCCGTCATGAGTGAGAAATTTTACACAGCCACCGTTGATGTTGATCGTCACGTTCTTGAGGGAAGGTTGAAGTTGGACGTTCAACATTGTTCATGATGTTCCGTGAGGCCTTCAGATACGCCACTTTATCGGTGGCTATGGTATGTACAATCGTGAAAACCCTTCATGCACCCTGATTTCATGCCGTGCAGGTGGTTTGGATACTTGCTCTCATTGCTCAGGTATATGTCAATGTCAGCTGTGCGTGCACTCTTTTTTCACGTCCAAGTACGCTACCTATCTCTTGTTAGTTGGTCGAGAGGCAGTCGGGATCATGTGGTTCGCGATCGCACTGCAACTCTTTCTCAATATGGGCGTCGCGTACAGCATCCGGAAACGCGATCACCAGACCACCGTCGCCCATTTCGCGTCGATTGGCGTTGTCCTCGGTGCCATAGGTGTGGACAAAACGGTCTTTGAGACAAATGGCCGTCAGCGAACGATGGCTGCTGCTTGGCTGATCCTCACCGTTATCGACATTCTGTGGGTGCTTGATTTCTCACGAAACCGTGCGATAGCCGCCTCTTCTCCGAGCCTGCCACGTTCGCTAGGCTCTGAAGATGGAATTAGCCCCATTGTGGTGGATCACTCTGGGCAGATCGTGCCTACTCTCGATACGCCGATATATAGGACGTTGCCCATCATTACGGAAAAGAGTACCTCTTCCTCCCTAGGGAGGACTCAACCGAGAGAGAGCGATATTCTTTCGGTACGCCTTCCATTTCAATGATATGGTCTTCTGTTGCTGCTTGACACACCACAGACAGCTTCACGTCTCGATGTCAAGAGCACATCCTTATTAACCGTGCCGACCATTTCGACTAACGACAGCAGCCCCAGACCTACACGTTACGCGCAGAAGCGTTATACGGATGTTCGTTGCTTCATTTCTTCTCTGCCGCAGCTCTTTGAACGCGGTGTCTTCCCAGATGTTCGCTCTCCGGACGACGAGCAAGAGCTCAGCTTCAAACAGGGCGAAATCCTTTGGGTTGCTCAGCACCACGGCGCCAAATGGTGGCCGGCCAAGAAGAGTGATGGCGCTACAGGAAGTAAGTGATACTGATGACCATTCAATAGACGTGATGTTTATCTCTACTTTTAGTTGTTCCTTCAAATTATGTTCGGCTTTTGGCTTGACCATCAGTCTTCCATGTCGGTTCGAGAACGCCGATAAGAGTGTGGCGCAGATTATTCGATGCACCGCCTCATGAGGTCGATTATTTGTATTGCCACAGCTTTTCGTTGCTTGTACGCTGTACCATAGCTATGTAGGATATTGAACCTATGTTTACTCGCGACATCATCGGACATTCAGACACTGGAACAGCAGCTTGTATCTAAGAGCAAAGATACGACTGAACTGTCGTTTGATTCAACTGCTCTCGACGTGATTGAGCAACATTAATCACGTCTATCGAGTGGTGTAGCGCCGAGCACCATCGCTGCGAGCCGAAGCTGTTAATATACGACAAGTACACTAGCGCGATGAGCTGACGGAGAGGCCTCAAAAGATGCGCGGCCGCGGTCCACGGCAGCGCCTGGGACGAGACGAATCGTATTAAGGTCTTTTAAAAAAGTGCTTCGGAAGCGAGTATCAATCCTGTCAGTCGTGGACGTGCGTATCGCGCAGCTTGTTCTATATCTGCCGCCTGTCTGCATCGCCCCGTATGAAGCGTGGCGCAGACGCGGCTTGACGGCCGGCTGAGACAATGAGTCAGTTTACGCATCTGCATCTTCAACTTGATTGATAGAATGTGGCGCAGTTTTGCACATGTGGAACGCACTACCCTGGTACAAGTGGGGTCGACATGTTTTCTCCAAACGCGGTTCGAGGCTCGCGGTCGAATTCGAGCAGCGCGGTCCATGAACATGGCTATGTACGATATTGAGCAAAACCCTATCTATCCTGCAGTGCGACCGGCAAAACGACGTCGTTCGAGGCAGAGCAGACGCGATGTTTGGATTTGTTTGCTGCACCATCCGTGGCGTAGCATAGATTCTCGTCGGTCGCATTCCATTCTTGCTTTCACGCCACGACGCGATTCCGTGCGCGACGCTCCGCCCCTCTCCAACGCCATGCGCTACCACGAGCGTAACATCTCCGGACGTACTATTCAAGGACAACAGTATATGGCGGGTCCTGCCTCGAGGCCTTCTTCTCACAGCACTGAAAGCCTCCGAGCGCTAAATGGAATGATGTAATTTCCGTGCCCATAAAGCCCGGTAGATCTCTGACTATCAATGCTGGCACCATGACCACCATCCACTGCTTGCGATCGTCGAGACATGGCCCAAAAATTCCTGAGAGGCTTTGCCTTACAAACGAAACACCACGTTCAGACGAGCCGACGCAGACGGCACACCTGCTACCGCCTGATCCCTCTTTGGAACGCAGACGCAAGAAGCAGGAGAAGCTCAACAAGCCTCTCCCGCCAACACCTCTTGCGAATATGAATTCCCAACTCCCGGTAAAGGCATTGGATATTCCAAGTCGTGAGTCGACTCGTTTGTCAAGAAAAGACGCGTCTGATCTCGGTGTTGTAGTTCTACCGCGTAGTGTGAGTCAACCATTCGCGTACGCTGCGCACAGAAACATACTGAATCGGGAGACGTTCTGCTGCAGGTCTGCAAGGTACAGTGAGCTGTACGCGTCGTTTCGCGTTACTAAATCGACATATGCACAGCACCTTCATCGTCTTGTACAGCAAGAATTCAAGACCGTTCTGCATCAACAGTAGGTCAAACACTGCTCCACCCCTCCCGCCTTAACCGTAATCAGATATCACGCGATGGTCCACGAATTCAACCTAGTTCCGCCATCAAACGCAGTGCTCAGTTTGTTAAGAAGTCGGTCATATCAGAACCGGCTGGATGAGGTATGCAAGTCAATTTTTCGTTAGCTCCAATTCACCAATTGCTGGCAATTTAGATTCTCAAGGAATTCGATCTGGATCGTTACTATGCCCTCACACTGAAAGTCATCGACGCGAAGAACAAGGACTCCATACGTATGATTAAGCTAGTCCATCACATAACGCAGTCGGACGCAGAACAGAACGAAGCCCTCAGCCTAGACGATAATACTACCGACGATGTTCTGGATATCTTGCAAGAGGTATGCATCAACTAACGTACTTATTCTTTACTAATCCTGCACCAGATACTAGATGCTAATCAAGGGGAAGACGAGTATCGAGTAGAAATGAAGCGGCTGATGAGCAAGCTTGTGAAGAAAGCATCAGGGTTACCGGATACAATGTTCATATCCGGCGTAGCTCTTCCACGGGGTCAATGCAGCCTTGGAGGCACTTTCGGCGACATATACAAGACACTGTATAGGGATCAGCCTGTCGCTCTCAAATTTCTTCGTATACTTGGATCCTCGCCGGCCGAGAAGCGGAGGACATGTAAAGTAAGCGCTATGTCCCAGTGGTCTGTTACTCTTGATAACAACCGATATATAGAAATTCTACAAAGAGGCACTTGTTTGGCGGAAGCTGGACTTCAAATACGTACTTCCCTTCCTTGGCGTAGACACCGAAAACATTCCTGGCAGACCGTGTATGGTCTCGCCCTGGATGGTCAATGGAAATGCGCACGACTTCGTCAAGAATCATCCCAAAATGAATGTTGACAAACTGGTAGATATTTCATGGTTACTACTTCAAGCCTTTTCTGAATAAATTGCAGCTCTTCGAAATCGCTCAAGGTATCCAGTATCTTCATTCAAAACTTGTTGTGCACGGTGATATCAAAGGCGTAGGTTCAACCTTTCCATTGCACATTTTCATATTCTAACATTGCGGTAGCTCAATATCTTGATTGACGAACAGTGGCATCCACGATTAGCGGACTTCGGGCTGACCATCTGGGCAGATGTGAGCAAACAAGACACGACTCAGCGCGGTGGTACGGTGCGCTGGATGGCCCCCGAGCTCCTTCACCCGGCATCATTCGGTCAAGAAGACAGCCAACGGACGTTCGCGACAGATGTCTACGCGTATGGTTGCGTCTGCTTGGAGGTAAAACTCTACTTCGTCTAGTGTATTACTGTTTTCTGATCCGACTTCGTAGTTGCATACTCGTGACAAGCCTTTTCACGACATTCAATCCGAAGGCGTTGTTTCAGTCAAGGTAGCGAAGGGCGAACGCCCTCAAAGACCCACAGACCCACCGTTCTCGGACGAGCTGTGGAATCTCGTGAAAGCATGTTGGCATCAAGACCCAGAAATGCGCCCACAGTCGCTGGAGACTGTCGAAGTTTTGCGCACGATATTCAGGAAATCCGCTGTGGAAGGTG